ATTTTTTTTAATTCTCCCGTGATTTTTTTCTCCCATTCTCGTAAAGAGGAAATGAAACCCCACGAAACTCCCACTGGGAGACCAAATCCCCAGTGGGGGAATCGAAAAACCCCATGGGACGGCCAACTTTGAATGTCTCCCATGCATTTAATTTTAAGGGTATCGTCATTTCAAAGGCCAGGTTTTACTTGACTCTATCTCTATTATTGACAGGTCTTTAATTTTTTTCTCTAATCAATTTAAAAAAGGTAGCTGAGTTTGCGAAAATTCCGGATTTGCAAACTTATTCCGGAGGCTGTTTGAACCATTTTACGTCCCAAACCCGTAAGCAATTAAACTAAATGTTGCAGTAGAGAATTGTTCATGTCATGTTGATTTACTTCTCGTGTCCCTGTTGAATATCATGCGTGTAAATCCTCATTTTTTAGTAAGAAAGATGAGTATAATTATATGGTATCTTCAAAGAAACAAAATCGATAAATGTGTTTCTATTTTATCTGAGCGTTTTATTGGCTAGAGAAAAGTGTTATATTTTGTTTGTCAATTTGTAAAACAATATTTTTATCATTTATTTGACATTTTGAATGTTGGATTGAGCTGTAGAAAACATATTTGGCTGGTGTGTCACTTTAGATATAAAGAAAAAAACACGATTGTTTGTTATGAGCATACATTGTCTTAGCCAACAGATAATATTAGCTTTGTTTTTAACTCGATTTTTCAGCTGACAAGGTCTCGTATCTCAAATTGCGCCTTAAATCGTGTAAATGATTGTTAAATCTCTACGTTTTCTTTATTGCTATCTAATGTAACATGTTATGCTACCATTTTGAAGTATGTTCATTTTGAATTATAACTAAGCCCTCATTTCAATACTGAATTCAAGTGTTGTCAATTAATTATCAGTTCATTGCATACACACTAATATTATCATTATAACAGCCACCGACGGTGCAATCAATATTTTTAAAAAAAAAAACTGATATTGATGACTTTAATCATAGTTTACAAGATAAATTTATTTCAAACGCCTCCTTACACCGCATAAGCAACAGTAACCATAAATTTAAACCTTAAATAGGTAATAACATTTCAAAATTGAGAATGATTCTATTTGTACAATACCAAATAAACATGTATATTAATCATAATTGACTGAATACGAATTAGCTTACGAATTACACTTATAGTGTTATTGCATATCTTTGTGTAGAAATCTGAAGCTAAATATATTTGCTTCACTTATAATTGTCATGAGTAATTATAGTTTGTGAAAACTAAAACTACTGATGGAAATTTTACGAATATAAGCATAATGTTTGCGTGCTTAAAACTTTGTATAGAAAATACCTTAAACAAAAGATAGTGTACCCTCTTATTATGTTGATTTAGATATTGATCAGGAAGAGGGAAGATAATAATATTTGAAAAGACGTAGATATCATCTGGAGAAAGATAACAAAACATACGTATACAAAAGATGAACAAATTTACCACGACAAATGCCTTTTTTCAAATGTAAGTCAACAAACGATGGCGTGACATATCATATTCATGGTATGCTGAAGATAGCATTATTGATTAAATGTCCTTCTTCTACAGACAAAGCAATAAGCGTATTTAGATGTAAGTATTGTAAAAAATTAGGGTCGTATGTTCTTAAAGTTGCCCCTGCTGTAACACGTATTATCTATATGCAAGTTTAACGAACATGAAACTACCATATTTCTTTCATATAGGAATATTATTTTTTTTGTAGAAGATATGTAGCTACATTCACTTTTATTCGATACTAAAAACTCTAAATGAAAATATCATCATGCCTTATCAAATACTTACTGTTGTTATTTATATCGATATGGAAAATATAGCGATTGCAGAATTAAAACCAAGAAAAAGTAAATATAGACAAAAAACACTAAGTTATTTGATAAATGTATTAGCCTAAGGGAAAAAGCACATTATACCTAAGAAATCCATATTGATTTAACTATGTATAAATGTCAAACATGTGTTCATGTTTACATAATGAATTAAGTTCATATTTAGATGTTAAACACTTGAGCGGAATAGCGTTGAACTTGCAGTTATGTGGTGAATAGATAGGAAAGTAAACATAGTAGTATTTTGACTTCCAAACAAAATACTATTTCACTACAATTAAACCAATTACCAACAGATAAAGATGCAGAAGAAAATTCATGATTATAGCAAACGAGTATCGTTTTGAATAATGTAACAAGATACCAAACATAAACAGAAGAAGCACAATGGGCCCATTATCTATGATAATTATGTGCTTGTAGTGATATAAATTACATTGTATCTGCGTTCCATGGAATCACCGGTTACTGGCCGTAATCGTGTTACAACTCAGTAAAATCGTGCGTATAACTCAAAATCGTACAAGACAAATGTTATCAGAATAAAAACAACGGATGTGTCGTGGAATTAAATAATGAAGCGACATTTGACACAACTAGGAGTTGTTGAAATAAAAACTGAACATTTCAAAAGTATAATAACACACATAAGCTTTTTTTCAATGTGTCGGAATACGTAAACTTTTTATTGCATTTACAATGTAGGTCATTGATAAATTGTTTTTGTTTTATTCATAATAAGCTGGTGTTGAAATATTAACGACATATCAATGTTTCCGTAAACTATTATCTAAACTCTAAAATTATTATTCATAATTTAGTTACATTAAAAAGTAGACATTTATACATGTGACCAGGTTAGTATGTATACGTTTTATACCAAAATGCAAATTTTATTCCTAATCCATAACAATCCATGTTGAATAAAAGCTTGCTTTTTAAATGATAAGAATATTATGTTTTACTGTATAAAAATAGATTTAACTAAACATTAGTAATAAACATTAGGTTAAAAAATAAACATTATTAACCAAAAATAATTTCATTTTTTAACCAGGTAATCGGATGGTAATATCGTTTGCGTATAAGATACTAATGTTTTAAAATTACTTAATACATTCACTGAGACGAACGTTTATATTCAATAGACAATTATACATGTGACAAAGTAAGTATGTATATGTTTAATATCAAAATGCAAATGCTATTGCTAATTTGCAGGTTCGTCTTAAAACACCTGAAATGTAAACAAAATCCCGTGCAGCTTTGTTTATTCATTAGTCACAATGGAAACGATGACGGAAACAACAGAAGATTGTCCATGTCGATAATCGTTACATCAATCATACATAACTGTTATAACTGTCATAATTAATTATTACTAGGGTGAATAGGAACATACGACACATGTAAGGTCGTCACCCTCTTTATATGGAGGGCATTTAAGCGCACCACACTTAGCTCGAACAAAGTAAAACAGTTTCCCGTTGAGATCGGTAGTAAGGGATTTGCTAGCTGGTTCAGGTTCACCATCAACACAAACGTACTCGGAGGCTGCATTTTGGGTAGGCTGTCCAGCCATAAGATAACCGCTGTATTCTTTAACAAAGTTTTTGAAACAGGTATTCTTCCCGGGTACCATCACAACACTGCTTCTTGGGACTTGACAAACAGCGCAGGGAACATCATGCTCGGCTAGATGTTGAAAAATGCTTTTATGACTTTCATATTCTGCTCCATATATCAGGCCTACACCGCCCGGGTTATTACTTTTGTTATCCCAGTCTGGACTTTGTGGAAGACATAAATAATTTGCAGCTGCCCCAGTGTCCCGGTATTCTCCCCCAGCTGCAAATCCTTCATAAACTAAGGATGCCCCAGCAGGACATGCCCTACGTCCCCAACGTGTGTAGATGCTTGTAATGTAACGAGAAGAATTCACGCGCCTATTATTTCTTTCGTGCGATCTGGCATCTGTGAACAAAGTAAATTAATTGCATTTTTAAATAGCGTTTGATATTATCTTTTTACATTTACTTAACATATTTACTGTACGATGCTTATTATTATAAACAATTTCCTATCCTTGAAAGAAAAGTTACAATTGGAACGGATTTTGAACTTAATTCAAAGGCGATAAGAGTTCGAGTCCTACTCGGGTCACTACCATGTTTCTTAATATGACACCAGTACTGGTTGGTTCCAGGAAGCAAAATCGAAGGTAATTAATATAAGTTGCAAGAACTTGTTTTGCAATCGAGCTTAAATAAATCAATGTTTAAAAAGAAAGAAAAGATACTTAATTTAATTGAAAATATGTCCTAAGTAAAATCTACGAATTACCTATAAAATGCAAGCATGGTCTTTCAAACACTTTACATATGATGAATTTCAAGTACAGGCTAGTTTAATTACCTTTTACAATACATTTTGTGAGTATAACAAAATCTTTAAATATATTTAAGCTATACCTTTAAGTTCTTTTAGTAACATTGCAATTCCTGCGTCTTGAAGATCATACGTAGCATGGTCTAATAGTTTATTTATTGTCTCGTCTACGGAGAGACTCTGATCTTCAGTTTTGTTATCATGCGCAAATGCACAGAGATAGAGTCCACACAAGATGATAACTGTTGTAAAAAACATTATTTTTGAATTATTTACGGTAATCTGTAAGCCTTGATAGATATTTCAAAATGACTCGCCCAGCAGATGTCGGTGAATATTTAATACCTTGGCTGTCTTAAGGTGCTCGACCTTTAGATGTAACTAATATACTACACGCGGTTTATCAGTTTAAGTTAAGGTACCCTTTATTTAAAGCTTTGTACCTTTGTCATCAGCTATCCGATGTAAATAGTTTTGCCTCAATTTTTGTTTTTAGTTTCCTTTTTATGTATGTGAACAAATTGTAACTCAAATATAGATGTTGACAGCTAAACTTATCTACGTATTTCTCCTTTGGGATTTGTAATTTTTGGGTTGTAGGTTCGATCTTCGGGCCAGACAAAATTTATCCATAAAAATTGATATCGGACATTGCTATTTCAGAATTCAAGTTGGATTTGTAATCGGCCATATTAAATTTTGTAATTACTGGTAAGTTATTCATTAAAGCAGGTAAGGTGGCCTGATCACAGATATCAAATATGTTTAAATCGGCGTAGAACAAACAAACACAAAACAAACCTTGCTCAATAATCTGAACCTTGTGCAAGTCTGGTAGCTGTTTAACCATGTAATCATAAAAATAGTAATCATTTGAATCGGGTGGTAAAGCATTATAAATAAAAAAACAATCAACTCTCAAAAGTATGTTCACTTGTTTTTCTTCTTAAAATGATAAATTACGTTTATTGTTTTTCTGATACCCTATGACATGCACATCAAATAATGCAACTTAACTTCATTCAGCAACCCTTGAATGTTTTAATTAATATCAACATTACTGTGTAGTAATATCTTTAGTATTTTGTTTTAAAATGGGGTTAATTTTACTTTGTCTTTTTTGTATATATAATTCGAATATAAAGAAAAATGTAAATTCAGCAATAGACTACTTTAAAAATTCACAAAAACCCCATTTTAGCTATTAATAATTATTTTAGCATATCAATATTGTATCTATTTAGTTAAAGTGACATTATGCCCATCCAAATAGTGAATAAACAGTGAAAGTTGAAATACATTTTTGCCATGATTCGTCTCAGTTTTTCAATATATTCCATAACTCTCAAGGAACATTTTGGAAATATCTGTAGAGGGAAAAATTATACTTAATAAAAGTATGGGGCAGTCTTTATGTTTTAGGCAGATATATATTTTATCCAAAACTTTTTCTTATATCAACTGTTGTCAAGCACCATTATTATTGTCAATATTGAAACTAATAGTCAATAAAACTCAACTTGACATTGAAAAAAAAAAATGAGCTTAATGTCACTTAAATGTTTTAAATATAATATGATGATTTATGCCATAATATGATAATGTAAGGTACAGTGGGGGGTGGCTCTCCGACCCCACTGCACCAATTACGGGGAAAATAAATGGGCAACCTATGTTGCTGAAAAAATAAAAAAAACATGTTTGCAACCGATTTATTTAAAGAAATTTAGCTAAACAATTTTTATATGTTTATCTGTACACACAGTGATATTGTTTTAATACCGACATACTGTCATATGGACAATACTAATGATAGCACATAGACTTTAAACCATTTATGACATAGTTTGTTTGAATATATCTATTACGTTAACAACTTTCTAAATGATCATTATATTTCACTGCATATGTTTTTTTTAAGGAGGCTAGGTACACCAGACGACATAGCAAATTATTGCTGAACATTTAAGACTTGTCTGTCTACGTGAAGAAAAATAAAAACGTAAGCAAGTTTACCACAACAAATCCTTTCCCTGTTTTGTTTTTTTAAAGTAGGTCAACAAATGTTGACGTGACAAATCATTGGTATAGAATGCTGAAGAGAAAATTGTTGTTTAAATGCCCTCTTAAATATAGAAAATAAACAATGCAAAATATGTACGTTCGATGTTTTTCATAATTAAGATAAGAAATTTAAAGTTGCACCAGTTGTCTTAAAACTTATTATCTATATGTGCACATGGTTCTGGGCCATAGTTGTTTTGTTTTTAAACATATAAACCTCAAAATGTTATAATACAATGCTTATAGTTTTGTAACTTGAATATAGGAAAAAAAGCATTATATAAAAGAGTACAAATTAATTTGAAACTTCCGTGTGCTTTATAAGTGTCTGTGAACAAAATAAATATGATTATTTTATTTTACCCATGAAAAATGTTGCTATATCAGTCAAATATATTTCATATATTTTAAAAAAATAATTATGAAATATAAATATGAAAGTGGGCAGAGTCAAAATCATTTATTTTAACGGACTTCTTTAAGCATTTTGTTGGAAAAAATCTGATAAATACAAAACAACTGTTTGTTGAATTTTGTTTTGAAAACTATCTAAAATGATAGAAAATGGTCTAACTAAGAAAATAAATCCGAACACCAATATCTTTAATTCAGTCATTAACGCTGTAAAGAATATTAAAGAGTTATTTACGTGACGTCACAATGAAGCGCCAAACATCACGTGCAAAACAAGACACATCTATAAATAATTAATATATTACTGTGCGCTGTACAATTGCAGTTGCCTAACATGCAAAGGGATTTGTAACCGTTTCTTTGATTTCCTCTTAATATTCATTTTGTATATGACATGTTGTGATAGCCGTGACTCTGTACAGAACAATTAAATAGAAAACTACTTCTAGTCTTTTCTGTGACATGACAAGTTTCAATAAATTAATAAATAGGAGAAAATATACGAAAAATAAATAATATTTTTTCTTGTTTTTATTTTCGTTAAATAGTGTTCTGTCGTCACCTTAGAGCAATAACGAATAATTTTTAAATGAATCTTTTTGTGTTGTTTTGTTTGTTGTTGTTGTTTACAAAAAGTTTACAAAAAGGATTTTGGACACCAGTGCGATAATTTGAAATTATTTTACCCTTTTTTCTATAAAACATTTAGATAAAGAAAAAAGACCAAAAAGACTAAATGAAGAAAAAAAATTCATTACAAGAATTGACAACGCTTGATAAAATCGTTAGACATAAATCTCTATTGCTGTTGTAGTTTTTTTTATTACGGAATATAAATTCATTGCAGAGGTTTATGAAAAGCTTGAAAAAGGTTGTTGAAATGTATCAAATAATATACGATATGTTAAAGAATCTATCTTGAAATATAAGACTAAAATTCACATGAGCTACACACTTTTCAATTATAAACAATATACAACAATGAAGTATAGATGGTAGCTTACATATTGAATATTAATGTTTTTGGGGTATTTGTTTACTGTAGTACCCTCCTTAGGGAGAGAAAAATAAAATTATGTTTACCTTAGTTACCTTAAAGCCTTTGTTTTTAAAAAAGTAAATAATACGAAGATAAAGAACAGGAAGCCAAAAAGTATACTTCACTTCAGCACACCTTTGTATTGGCGAATGAAAAGAATAACAAAAACCCTGTAATATATAGATCAGGAAGAAAAAGACCAAGGTACATCTTTACAGCTCTTATGTTAGTAGGCTAATGCAGTAAGCACACTGCGTAGAAAGAAAAAAAGTTAGAATTAAAGAGCACATTTCAATATATCTGATACTGTCAATCAAAGGGTTTTTTAATCTATGTGTGATTAATAAATAAAGATATGGTAGACTCTTACATGTAAGATTTTACATCTATACATGTTTATTTAAACGTAAATGATAACAATACATTAATTATTCAAATGGTCCATTTAACGGTCGCAAAGATTTTATTTAACATAGTTTTTTTTCCTTTCATGTCATATCTTTTTGTAACCGACACTTAAAGATTCTTTTAATTGACAAGAACAGAAACAATAATATTTTAGAGTGTACTTTATTATCAACAATAAATGCAGTTGTCAATACCAAAATAAATTGTAACCAACTATATAGTAAGTATTTTTACGCTTTCCTGAGGGTCTTAAAGTAGCATTACTAATAACGAATTCCTATTTTATCTAAAATAGATGCAATAGAAAAATACATAGCTAGTAGATAAAGAAATATAATTATGCATTACACGATTTATGACAATTTTGTGAAACTTAACACTCCAAGTTCGTCAATCTCGATAAGTGTGTTATGTTTCCAACGAGCTTGAAAATACTACAGTGGAGCCTTGCTAATCCGAACCCTTCTAATCCGGAATCCTTTCTTATCCGAACGAAGTGTCCGGTCCCGATTTTATTCGTTCTATTTTCAATAGTAAAAAACCTTTCGGATCCGGAACCTGTCTACTCCGAATTCCGGACGATTTTTTATTTTTTTTCTTATTTTACTCTAAAATTTACCTCTCGGATCCGAACAGATTTTGTCAAATGTCACACCTTCTTTAAAAATAACAAATAATCGCACATCTTGCAGGTGTAAACATACACCAAACTGATGTATTATTTCACTTGATTAATTAAGTATCTATTTATTTAGCTTTTGACTGTAGTTTATCTTTGACTACAGTGCATAAGATAACGGCCATCAATCATTAATATGTAAAAAAAACATTAAATACATTATTAGGTTAGTAAGATGATTTGATTAGTTGATGTTCATCGATTTTACTTTTATCTTTTCTATTTTGAATAGTATACCTACGTTACAGGTAATTGTGTTTATGCTAGTACACGAATTATGTTCCCCGTTACCACACTTACAATACTTATCTTCTTTTGGATGAGACCTTAAAAGCCAAGGTCCGATGTATCACCACTTGAAAGATGGCTCATTTAAAAAAAATAGAGAAAATAAAAATCCTAAAAGCAAGCCCAACACAACAAAATTAAAAATGTTTTTGATGTTTGAAAAGCCATTTGAAACTGTTGTATTATGAACTATCACGCAATTCACAATGACTTTGAATGGGTGTCGGAATATTAGCAATTGAGATGCGAATTTACCGAAAGACAATAACTTAACCTCTATCATTTTAACCTTTATATGGGTCATAACGAGAAAGTTTGATGCATTGCATATTTCTATAGTCATATAGTCACTGGAAAATAAAAACGAAACAAATGAGAAATGAACGTATCCGTTAAGGTTTCCTCAAAAGTTTCATAGATAAAGAATATGCCCAATCATGAATTTGTTGACATAGTTTTCCAAAATAAAATTTCGAGTGTACTGTATATGATATGTTAAT